TAATGCCATTTGTCTCTTCACAAGAGACTACCTGGTCTGCTGAGTACTTCCAGTGTTCTTTTTAGTATAACGACAGTGGAGTTTTAAATTTATATGGCATCTTCTAATATCAAGTTGTTGTTGTTGATAAGCAAACAATCTGTCAAACAGCCCGACAAACCAAATTTGAAACCAATGGTTTGTCTAAACACGAATTTTTAACAGTGATGAAAGAGAACAGCACATTTGACAAAGTAGCTGGTTGCAATCTAGTACAAGTCCATCCTCACTATCTTTGTTACCACATTATAAATGTTGCCTACAAAACTGTTAAGGAAATTGCTTGTAAAGTAAGCAATTTGCAGCTATTACTTCCTGTGCAGTAGTTCATAAATTTATTTAGCACTGACACTGACAGGACAGTATGTAGCTTAAATTACAAAAAGCAACCTGCAAGCTTTGGCCAGTTCAAACAACAATTTGTTGAATGGGACATCACCATCTAAGTTACACAACTTCAAACAATTTTGCAAGATGTCAAAGAAACACCGTCACATACAGGAAATTGAAACCACTCAGTGAATAACAGCCACAAGACCAACCCAAAAGTGCTCCTTTCTTACTTACTTTGTTTTTAAAAATCTCCATATAATTTATACAATTGGATAGCTATGCATATAGTGAAAATGCAATGCTCAAATGCATATAATTCATAGGTTATTCAGCCCACACTGTTTCAAATAAGTATCTAATTACACCAACTCCCCTGCTCTTTTCCCATAGCCCAGCAAATTTTCTTTTACAAGTATTTATCCAATTCACCTTTAAAAAAAATTCAGATGCCCTTTAAGCACTACAACCCTATGAGCATCAACATCGTTGATTTCTGACCCAAACATTCAAGCCTTCGTTCTTTAGCCAATCATCTCAAATCTGTCCCCTCTGATTACTGACCCTCTTGCCAATGCAACAGTTTATTTTGCACAGTGCATTCTCATGATCCAGGATTACATTAAACTTGGGTTTACACAATGCCTTTAATGGTGCTTCAGAGAAGCATTAAGCACGATTTGATGCTGAGTCACTATGAGATGAAATTTATGGCAAAAATGATGTCCTAAGTTTATAATTACTCCCACCAAAAATTTTAAGGACTTAAAATTAATTTTATCTTTGTGGAAAGTAAAAGATCTCCATCATGATAAAAAGTGCACATAATTTTAAATAGATTTTAAAAGTTTGTGATATTTCACCTTCTACCTTGATCTCATGTTTGTGCTAGAATCATTGATTTCGCTCTTGGTGAAATTGATCTGTAACTACAACATAAACTGGTGAATTTTACTTCCAGATTTGCTCCCTATTTTATGTTGTCACTGTTGCTGGAGATTACTTTGACTTCGTGTCACATTCAAACTAAGAGTGAAAAAGTCCACACAATAGACATTTCCAGATCTTTATAGTTAGGTTTCTTAAAGGACAGTCTTATTTCGTCACTGGCAACTAAATTCAGGCCACTCAGCAGATGACCAAAAGCTGCGCAATGATGATTCTCAGGAGCATCTTAAAGGAAGAAAGAGAGGTAGGCAGAGAAAACCTCAGAGCTTCAGGATCAGGCACTGATTTTTTTTTTCTTTGTTCATTCACAGGATGAGCAGCATTGCTGGTTTGGCAGCATTTATTGCCCAACGCTAATTGCCCAGCAGGCAGTTAAGAGTCAACCACATTGCTGTGGGTCTGGAGTCACACATAGAACAGACCAGGTAGGATGGCAGATTTCCTTCCCTAAAGGAATTAGTGAACCAGATGGGTTTTTCCAATAGTCGGCAGTGGATTCATGGTCATCATTAGATTCTTAATTACAGATATTTATTGAATTCAAATTCCATAATCTGCTGTGGCAGGATTCGAACCGGAGTCCCCAAAATATTATCTGGGTCTCTGTTTAACAGTCCAGCGATAATACCACTAGGCCGTTGCCTAAAATCAGGATTAAACAAGAGACCAGAACTGGAGGAGCACAGAGAAAGGGAAAAGCAAAGTTACAGAGGGCTTTTGGAAAAAAAAAATGAGCGTTTAAAATTTGTGAACTAAATGGAGGCCAGTGAACACAGCAGAAGAGTGTGGGCAGGACACAACATGAGTTAGGATATGGCTAGCAGAGTTTTGGATGGAAAATGGGAAGCCAGCCAAGGAGCCACTGGAATAGTCAAATAAAAAAAGACATGGATGATATAGACTGATACACAAGATTGAACACGCATCAAAAACCAGGCTTCTGAATATTTCGAATGGAATCTCTGAAGTATAAAGTCTCCATATTTTAACTTTTTACTGACAGTCACAAATCTCTCCAATTGATTTTACATTATATAGTTTTAAAAAACCGACTTAAGTCTGGCTTTAGTGGTATTTTAAAGTTTTGTGTTTGCGAACCTCTTCATAGTTTCATGCACATAAGTTGGGCCTTCAAATGTACCTGACCAAGCTATTGGTTACTAGCCCTAATGTCTTTTACTCTCTTTCTGTGGCTCTGCATTAAATTTTGTCTGATTTAATGCTTCAGTGAAATGTCAAAGAAATGTCAGTTTACAGCAGACATAAATACAAGTTTAGGGAGGGAATGATATGGAATAGTCCTGGAGAAATGGGTGATAAAATTACAATTTTCTACCAATTCTAGTCTTGCACACCCCAACATCCATTGCTCCAGCATTAGTGGTCTTTCTGTAGATCATGAATAGTGTAGATGTGGGCCATTCAGCTTCAGTACAGACCCAACCTTAACTTCACATAGGAAAATCCCTCATAACCAGGATCAACCTAGTGAATCGTATCTAGACTGCTTCCAACGCAAGTATATCTTTCCATAGATAAGGGGACCAAAACTGTTCACAGTATTTGAAGTGTGGTTCACAGTATTTGAAGTGTGGTTTGACTAATACTGCCATGTATAATTTTATAAAGAACTTACTATTTTTATAATCTATCTCCTTTGAAATATCTATTAATTGCTGGTTTAGGTGCTATCTTTGAGAGATTCATGCATGAAGAAATCCCTCTGTGTTTCAGCTGTCTACAATCATACCACATTTATATAATATTCAGCTCCCCTATTCCTCTGGCCAAAAAGCATAAAGTCAGATATTCCCACATTCCTGAAATTTCATTCCTAACACCACTGCGGGTCAACCTACAGCATTATCTGCACCAGTCCAAGGTGGCAGTTCACTGTCACTAGGGTAATTAGGGACAGGCAATAAATTCTGGCCCAGCCAGCAACACCCACATCCAAATGTGAATAAAAAAGTTTACATTCCACCTATTAGATTTTAGCCCACTCTGTAGATTTCTGTAGACTCTGTCATCCTTATTATTACTTGCCTTCTCACCTATTTTTGTATCATGTGCAAATTTGGTGATAGTACTGACTTCCGTCATCCAAGTCATGACTATATGTTGCAAATCATTATGGAACCAACATTAATCACTGTGACACTCACTCATTACAGGTTGCCATTCCAAAACTAGCCCTCTTTTTCTTCAGAGAT